TTAGACTGAGCCAGGCTAGCGTAAAGCTTGCCTCAACCCTGGCCTCAAGTTACCTCACATGGAAATAGCAGCAATGTTCCAATATAGAGCTATAGAGATTTTACATGTGGGAGAAAGAGAACTGAGTCAGGCTCAGTTAAGGAAGCATGGAGGGTCTAAGAAACAAAATGTCTGGGTATCTTAAACACTGCTGAATTAACCAGTGCTATCTATTGGTGGAAGTAAACCATTTCCCTAACAGGTTTTACACAGGGAGGTACATGTGAATTTGACAGGAATATATGTTGTATGTTACGGTACAAAATTAACTGACCATTGTGGTAGACAACTCAGAGAATATGTTGTAGATACTGTGTACAGTATCAGTAGGATAGTAGTGTGTTTGTTGTCTTTGGTATGAACAGTGTAGCTGTGTTTTATTTCCGTGTCATGCTGTGCGAGCCTCCATGAATCTTCACTAAAACATTTTCTGGATTCTTCTGTTTATGAAATCCTCCCTTTCACCACCACCCCTCTCTTTCTCTCTGTCTCTCCATCTGAAGAGGGAGAGAGACAGAGAGAGGGAGGGCTCTCTCTCTCTCTCTTGCAGCATGTCATTTAGACAAAAGTATTAAAATTCGTCTTAATTTGACATTGTGTGCATCTATTAATTCTTCTTCCTCCTTAAAAGGCAACCTACCTCCCAAAAATCAATTGCTACACACAATAACTGGCTAGATCATGTTCAGAGGAAATGTATTTTTGAATGAATGAAGTGCTACAATTATGAATAGAAACAGACTGACTGCGAGGTGCTCACAGTGGTTATTGGGTGTATAAAAAGAGTTTTGCACCACAGATGGGTTCTTATGTCGAGGTCTGTCTTGTTTGGTTTGAAGCAACAAATGTGCTTTGTTTAAGGCGAATGGAAGACAGTGGTTTTGGTTAAACATAAATGTTTGTGTCTCAATTCACCGTGGCCTTTTTTAGTGTGCTAGTATACAGGCCAGGATCTTTCTCTAACCTTTTCTTCAATATAGTGAGAGGCGAAACAGAACCATTAAACACTTAAATGACTCTGAAGGCCCTACAAGTTGATATTATAAGATCAGATGTTGTAACAGAAATAGAATTGTGTTGAATGAGAAATCAGACAAAGAAGTGGACAATAAGTGCAAGTCAGACGTGTAAGGGTTTCAGAGGTGTTAAAGATAAAGTTAGCCCAAAAATTAAAATTCACTCTTTATCTCCTCCACTATACCGATGGAGGGGTGGGTGAAGTGTTTGAGTCCACAAAACCCTTTTGGAGTTTCAGCCGTATACAGCGTTTCAGCCAAATCCAATACAATTGAAGTAACTGCCGACCACGTTAAAAAAAACCCACTGAAATTATTATTTAAATGCCTCCATATTGCTCCTGTTGTTAAGTGTCCATAAGATCCGACATTAAAATTCGACGAGAGTTCTCGAATTGCTGCAGCAGTAACTAGGAGGAAGATAATGATGCCACCTCAACTGTTTTCCTGATGATTATTTCATACTTTTTATTGAGAATTAATCAATTTCATCATTTGGTTTTGTTAAGGTCAGTACACTAGAAAAATTATCTTACAAAAACTTGGATGAAATTATATTAAAGACTGGGTTTTGATTTTCAGACAACATACTCAGAGACAGAAATAGACACAAAGAAAATGTGGCAGTTGGAAAGAAGATGATGTGAATTTTATTGTTTCTTGCTCTCAAAATATTGCTGAATATTAAGGGGGTGGATGGGCATTGAATATACCACCAGAGGGAGGGTTCAGAAAAATCTTGTTTATCACTGTGCTGCCACAGGATGACACTGTCTACCCTGACAAGAATGAACTGTAACTGCAAGTAGTCTTGGGTGTTCATCGTCTTCAATTGGCAGTGATGTAAAAATTACACTTGATTGTGCTCCGACTGGAGCTGCATGAGTGACCGCAGTGATCAGTTCTGTGGACAAGTCTACCAATATGGGAGCATTCACCTTAAGAAGGGCAGCTATTGATCAGATGCTTCTAATACAAGGCAAGCAGTACTACATGAGAGTAGTACTTTAAAAAAGCATTTTTGAGGGAAGGATATGTTTAGACAAACTCACAGGATTTATAAGATTGTGAGTATTGAAAAGAACTGTTTCAGAGAATCATCCCTACGGTATAATTCCAGGCATTTTCTGATGAGTCAACCTGATTTGAGCATTAATTCCAAAAAGCTAAATTTGACACTAGCTCCTATCTCTTATATAATAAGAGTATGTACTCTAAATCAGTGTCAAAACGATTCTAATTGCATCTTAGTGTGTGATGGTGGTTGACCCTTGAACTTCTTATTTTTGTGAGCGTCAGATGGTCGTATTGTTTAAGTGTTGGCTTAACAGCAGCTGCTCTCCTGCTCTTGACAGATAAACACTGAGCTGTCACTCGTGTCCGAGGCAGGCTGATC